ACCAAGCTGTATATGTAATACAGACATATTTTCTGCTCATGTATTTTCTTTAAGATCTGCAATGTGTTGAAGCCTCCAAGTAATTATGTAAGTGCCTTTTGAAAAACTGTAACTGTAATCTGTAACCTTGCTATAATACAAAACCTGGACTGTATTAAGGATAATAGTTTTACAGTTTTTTCTGGGGTGAGGAGTGAAAGCTACTTTTTTTATAAAAATGGAAGTCAATTCAGATAATGATAATGCACAAGCTTAAGAAAAGTACCACAGAATGTGTAGTGGCTGACTGTCAAAGAAAAGCCACAAATTCACATGACAGCTTTAAAGCACATTCATGTCATCCATTAGATGAGATTTTAAGATGACTACTTGATTATTAAAAGTCCTTAAGTACTGTTAGGGGTGATAATTTCCCAGTATCACTTTGGGCTTGTACGGTTGGCCTTTCTAAAATGTCCCCTTAAATTCGATTCGTGGAGTCATTTTTCACTCCCTGCCTTGTTCTGCAGGCAGATAAAGGTGGTGAATTGTGTCACCTAAGTAGATGGTGGTTGATGAAAAGTACTATAGAAATGCGAGGAAATAGAATTATGCATTAGGAGCACGTAAACCTTTATTCCATGCTGAAAAGAAAGGAGACTCAACGTTTTGGCTGTGGAGCCTTCTTCAGGTGTTAGGGTTAGGATGTCTAACGCATGCTGACACAGCTACCTACTTGAATTATGCGTTAGTTCACTAGACGCATAGCTAGACCTTTGTTGACAATGGACATCAATCTTGTTCATCACTTGGAAAACATGATTTCTTAGGCACTTATTACCACATCTTGCAATAAAACCCCATACATATGAAATATGTATTGCTGTGTGAAGTATGGCATGGCTAAGACTCCAAAATGTGACCTAGTAAGCTAATTATGCAATAACCCTTAGGTAGGACATTTCTCTGACTACAGCATTGCGGGTCATTGGTGAGAAAACTACCAAAGATTATATCTGCATCTCTGTGAAACAAACTGCCCACACTGTATGATTTGGCAAAGTAAAGCATAGGCCATTGAAAATGAGCTGTGACCAACTCAGGGTATGTGAATCATTATTATTTTCTGACTGCACATTAGTTTAAGTGGAAGAGGAAGGAAGATGTGGGTACGATAATTGCTCAGCAGTGGTTTCTAGAGAATGTTGATTTGGTGCTGTGGAGGAAATGTAAACCTGGTATTCTAAAAGAGTGAGATAAGCAGGAGACATGTCCAAAACAAGCTGAGGGCAAAAGAAAATGGAATAAAAAAGGAAAAAAAATTGAACAATTGAAAAAGGTAAATGGTAATATTCAAATTATAGATATGTAATGCAGGAAATAAAACCTAAGACCCTGATTTAATCAGAACTTTAAGTCAAGTGCCAACTGCAACTCCAAACCGCATACTTCAAGGTGAGTTTCCGTTGCATAAATGAAAGAAAATATTCCTGAAAGCTTAAATCATCCCTTAACATTAAATTATTTGGTTGATGTCTTTATCCAAAATAACTAACATTTACATCAATTTACCCAGCCTGTTATCTCACTAGCACAATTCAGGTGAAGTTCCTTAAATTATTATTAGAATTTTATAATTGGAACAGGTGTTCCAACTGGAAAGTGAATCTATAACCTTCCAACTATGAGTCCAGAACCCTAAGAACTGCTCCACCCTACTAGCCTATACTAAATAACACTGTCATTTCAATTACTGAGTTGATCAGTTGTGAGTGGAAGGTGGGTTAAATTCTGATTTAAGCTGGACCAAACTCTGTCACACAGCTGTGGTCTGCATCAGGGCAGAGGTTCCTCCATATCTCATCCCCTCTGAAATACAAGATGTGTGGGATGTGTTTATTGAAGCACGTTATCAGGATGAGCAAGGGATGTATTCAGAAAGAGCTGACACAAGTGCTAAATGATGGGAGATTTGCTCTTCTAAAGTGATGAAAGGTATGGCAATATTCATTTTTGCTCTCTACAGTATTTAGTATGATCCTTTTGATTGTCTTTGGAATCTCCTATAAACCAGATTACTCATTTTTGTTTTGTATTCCAAACGATTTTGTTGTTTGATTCTTTATCTGTGTCTCTTAATTAGACAGACATTAAGTACAAATATGCAAGCCCAGGCTGTGTGGTGTGACAGACAGGGACAAAGAGAGTACATTATTATAATATAAACCATTATTTAAATGCTATGTTGGACAAGTAGAAATGCACAAATTCACCTATATTATAGAGCAAGGATAAAAGATTCAGGGAACAAAATTAGTCATTGTTGTCTCTCTCGGGCATTAATTACTGTACAATGGATGATTTAAGTTCAGCTTAAACAGAGCTCATGTTCCCTTTGCCTTGGTTTGGAGAATCTGTTTTGAGCTCAAGGTGTTAGGCCATTTTATAGCATTTACAGCATGAGATCTGTATCATCCTCCTAGATTAATCCACACTAATCCAGTTACATTTCTTTCTGTCTTTCATTTCGTACGGAGGATGTGAAAAGTAGTTGGAGGTTTAAAGAGCAGGAAGAAGAGTTGAAGAGGTCATCAACAGAAGAGGACAATTATTACGTCATTGAATTTCTGTAGAGGGTTAACGATGTTGATCCTGCAGCTCTGTTTTATAAAATAAGCACTTAAATATATAGCTGGAGAACACATGGCTTTTTTCAGGCTTCAGAGATTTTGAGACTAAGTGTCAAATTAAGTGATAACTCCTGTGGATAAAATTATAGGACTGTAGCTCGCAAGTGAAAGGCAGAAAGTATGTGTTTAGTTTAAATTATACACGTATAGTATAATATTGTTATAGCACTGTACATAGGTTTTTTGTCTAGCATTTTGTCTTTGCTTTTTCTGCTCTTTACAAAATATATAATAGGTAGGGAGAGAGGGTTAACTGTACAATACTGTGAAAGACTTAGGTTGTCAAGGTCAAATTCATGAAAGAAAACATTACCAGACATTGCATAATTGTAAAAATGATTTAAGAAGTGAAAGGGTCTACAATAAGTCTCCAATTAGTTAAAGTGTGAAAACCCATGGATGTCAGGGGCATCTAGGAGTGTATAGTTGTTTACAGCCAAAATTTTAAACTGACCTTTCTGAAAATTGCAGCCAAACAATTCCCCCTACTAATATTGTATCGATAGCAATAGTTGTGACATTCATAAAATTATTGAACTCTTTTTGAACAACTTTGTATTTCATGTGACTATTACAGTCTTTGTCAGTCTTTGGTTGCACTTTTGTAAAAGCAAGTGACAGCACAGCTGGGCTGTGAGGCAGCAGCAGGCAGTGAAATAGACTGATGGGAAAACCCCGACAAGACGTAATTCTTTTTTTTTCTCTGAAGCTGTTAATGAATGCAGTGCAATATGTGAATCAACCTTCCAGTAAAAGGTTCTGCTGTACTATACCTTGTGGAGAGATACATGTTTCTGCATTCCTTTCCATTTGCACTTAGTGTTCAAATCCTTCCATACTTCCAGACATGCTACTACTGTGCAGCTCCTACAAAGTGGATATTTAACCCCCCCTGGACCTATGCTATACTCTACTGAAGCATTACATGCAACTTGTCTCCAATGGCAGACTAAATGTCAATTCCCAGCATTACTCAAATGTGATTATTTCCATTTGCTCTAATAACTTGGGCTAATTTTGCGTAGAGAACCCACCCAAGTTTAATTTATCGGCCTTTCATAGTGCTTTCACTCGTCCACTTTCCGTACACCTGCTTCACCTAGCAGTGAAGAGAAATTACTCCCAAAACAGGGATTATCATGTGTAGTTTGGCCTTTTAAAGGCAGACTGCACCACTGCAGAGAACGGTACTGCACTCTCTTTTGCATTATAATAAACTGTATTTTATAAAGCAGAGGCTTTAGAAAAAATGATTTAACAAATGTATGGTATTAGTTAACTTTTGCGATATTCTCCATGAAAAAAGTATGCTTTAGTGTAGCTGCTCACAATTTAGTCTTTCCAATAAAAGAAGACTCCTCAAGTGTGAGCCAATAGCAGCAGGAGATATTTTTAAACTCTTTTCCACAATTCCCTTTGCAGGATGTCTGCAGAGTCACACAGTGAGAAAGAACAAAAAATAAGAATATCTCCAGTGCAGGTTTCTCATCTTCAGCTAATTGAGGCTCAAATTAGATAAGTTTCCTCCTTTTTAGCAGGATTCACCATACGTCTTTGAAGATGGCAATTATATGAACAGATATAAAATTGTGTCACTTGACAATGCCCCTGTAACAATGATTTTTTCTTTTTTTCAAGCGTTAGATCTAAAAACAGAAAACTAAAAGAAAGTTTAACTTTTTATTCCTGATTCAGCAAAAATAGAGTAATAAAGACATTTTTCCATCTCTTTCCTTTACATAGCCTTCTCCTAGGTTTGCAATATAGATATTTTTTATTGATCCAATTTCTCAATTCACTATAATAAATACTGAACATTTCATTAGCTTCATATTTCAAGTCAATGGTAGTACAGAACATGATCATGGGAGCATATTGTTACAGTACATAAATTAAATGAATTTCTTATTTTTGAGTTTTTATTGATTGCAGAAATGGTTTACGTATAAAATATACACTCAATGTTTCTTTTAATTCACAATTGCACATTATTAGAACTATTTACATTGTGCCAACAGAGATGGGACTTTTAATACTGAGATACAGTATACTATACTGTACATATTCAAATCTATATTAGAGATATACTATACTGTACATATTCAAATCTATATTACAGTAGTTTGGTAATTACAGAAGAACAACAAAAGAGGTCTACACAGAAATACTACTTAATTTTAGTCCAGAAAGTGAAATCAGGTCTTAATGGAGACATATTGTTTCCAGGATATCCAACATTTGCTAAACCTTTCTGGCTTCATGTAAAAATGAATTTCTTTTGAAACATCTGTTAATCCACCCTTACCACCCTTATTTATTACTCTTTTTCAGGAAGCAGACTCCTATTCCTGGTGCTGTGGCTGAATTCTGTACCCCAAGTGGAGTGCTGCCCAGGGGTCTGTGTGTGTTACAGTGAACCTAGAACGACAGTGGCGTGCCAGCAACAAGGACTGTCCTCCATTCCCACTGAGATACCCATTCGCAGCCAACGAATATTCCTCCAGAATAACAAGCTAACAGTGGTGAAGTCTACCAGTTTCAGTTCTTGCCACAACCTGACTGTGCTTTGGCTCTACTCCAACAACATCAGCCACATCGAGGCTGGTGCTTTTTATGGACTGGAGCGATTAGAAGAACTGGACATTGGAGACAACTCCAACCTAAGGATCATCAGTCCCACAGCCTTTCGGGGGCTGTCAAGACTGCACACCTTGCACTTACACAGGTGTGGGTTATCAGAGCTGCCCATTGGTGTCTTTCGAGGGCTATTTTCTCTACAATACCTGTACCTCCAGGACAACAATTTGCTGACCCTGCATGATGACACTTTTCTAGACTTGGCAAACCTGACCTATCTCTTTCTCCACGGCAACAAAATCAAGACAGTGTCTGAGAACATGTTGAGAGGCTTGATCGGTCTCGATCGTCTGTTGTTGCACCAGAACCGGGTGACATCTGTGCACCGGAGAGCCTTCCATGACTTGGGAAAGTTGACAACCTTTTATCTGTTCAATAACAATTTAACTGTGCTCACTGGGGAAACCATGGATTATCTGGTGTCGCTCCAATACCTGCGTCTGAACGGTAATCAATGGATTTGTGATTGTAGGGCCCGATCTCTATGGGATTGGTTCAAACGATTTAAAGGATCCAGCTCTGAATTGGAGTGCCATGTTCCAGCAAGTCTTGTTGGTAAGGATCTCAAAAGATTAAAGGCCAGTGATCTGGAAGGGTGCTTAGATAACTCACATCAAATCCGAACCAGCATCTTCAGTACCAAGACCCGATCTGGCAAACTACCCTCGACTGAGACTCCACTGAGAGAAGGGTCGCCCAGGTGCTGCCTTCCGGAGAGTGACAAGTCCTCCATTATCTCGAGCAAGGGTCTGCCAGATCCCTCATCCTACAACAGCCGGCAAATCACAAATAACCCACTCAAGGAGAAGGAGAACATCTCAAAACCCAAGTTCCCGGATGTAGACCCCACTAAGAATGGCACTCGGAACAAACAGAGACTGAATGACGATCCAGTTGGGACCTTTTCCAACACGCAGGACGATCCTTTGGGAAAGCTAAAACCAGATTACACTGACAACCTGGAACCCTCCACAGCCCCCTCAAGGAAGAAAAAGAAGTGCTCAAAAAAGCCAAAACCAGATGCCCAGTGTCTCAAAAGCAAAGGGTCTACATCTCGGGCTCTGAACCTTCTCTTCTTGCCCATCATCTGGTTCTCTTTAACCATCTGTTAGGAAATGGGACAGACGTTGCATATTTTTCTTGCTGATGACAATTTCTTAGAACCTGCAGTGACCTCCACAAACTGACAGAAAGAGAAAATAAGGGACATGCTGTAAATCCTAAGAGAAAAGAGAAGCTTTGTTCAACTAAAACAAAAAATACAACTGGATGCCTTTATAGAATACATCAAATCTATTGTATATAATTAATTGGTGCCCAAATTGTTTCTGTTCTATGTACTGTGTCTAAACTGCACTTCTGAAACTCCCCCTCCCTTTCAAGGCTTATGCTGCAAACACAGTGATGTGACAGACTACCGAAGACAAAGCAAATGGGAACACAAATGTACCATGTAGATGCTTATTAAACCAAGAATGTTTTGGGGGTTTGGAAACCTACTTGAACCTAAAGATGTGGCAGAATTTTTTATTTTTGGCAAGAAGTGATGCATTTGTTCAATGCTGTGTTGGGTTCTTATGTTTATAAATACTACAGATTAAAAACAAGATGTTTATTCTCCTTTTAATTTGGGTTATTTTTGTCACACCGTGGTTACGGGTAGCATCTGCAAAAGAATGCTGTCTATTTGTTCACTGAGATTGCAGTATATATAGATATGCATTTTATTTTACTTGTGTAGAAGTATAAATATATTATAAATAAAGTCTTCTTTTCTTAGAGATGTGCATACTACGGGATTTATTTTTTTCAAAAATAACCAAGGAGAGAATGAAGATGGCTGTTTGAATACAATTTTAAGAACAATAAAGTAATTACAAGGTTGAAACATGAATGACATTCATGAAATACAGAATTCACAAATGTGAAGGAAGAATTTGTAAAACACTAGAGGAAATTTGTGGGAGCTTTGTGTGTAACACTGAAAGGTCCACCCTTCAACCTTGAATAAAATAATAGAAGACAATATAAGCAGTAACGGCATAGGAGAATCTCATAGAAAACACTCGAGAAACGAATGAAACAAGGTTCTCCCTAGCAGTTTGTACAATACAAACACCCTTGTGGAATGCAGGTCATGCTGTATAGTCCATCACCACTTTGAGTCTGAGCAATACCATTAACCAACTGTGGCTGGGACTCCCCAAGCTGCGTGGAGCACAAATGGTCATATTTTGCAAGGCAGTCAGGGTACATACTGTACCTGCGATATTCCTGTGATCTTTCACCGTTATCAGAAAGCACCACTTTTGTGGACTGCCGTGGACAGATGCGGCGAGGGTTACAGTGTGAAGAAAAGGCCTGAGGGTGGAAAATGCATGTTTCTGTGAGAGTTGTCTCCATCTTTTCCATGAGACTGAGAGATAAATATACTGTATAACTGCCCATTCCCAAAAATAATGTAATTAGACAGATGTGCAAAATATCATAGGAAGATACAGATATGAACTTCTCTGTTATGAAATAAGCTGTAGAATGTTAGATTGTATTTAAATCACATTAGTATTATACTATAATAGAGATATAACAGATTACTGTTTTATTGTGCAGCAAAACTATCTCAATCTATTAACAGCCTGACTGTATCTACACTGACCCATTACAATACTTAGATTATCAAATCAGTGGATGAAATGAAGACTCAATTTGGTGAAATTATATTAATTGGATTTTGTTGTTAGTAATTACATTACATTTGCAAGAACAAATGATCTAACCTGAAAATGGATACATGTATTTCCATATATAAATATATATGATTCCTTAAACCTGTTTAAAATGAACATCTAATGTTTCTTGATTATGTTCAATTATATAATTATCATATCATTATACCATGAACAATAAACCATAGACCAATGGGACAAAACTGACACATTAATAAATGTGGGCACAGAACTGCTATGGATATTCAAGGACAATCAACAGATAAACACCAACTAAGACCATGAAATTGCTATTACATACAACTGCCTCACATCACTGATGTCTCACTTGTGTGTAAGTGATTCTAGCTATGCGTTTTAAAATGTTATCTATGGCACGTTGTATTCTACTGATCTCTTCAAAATGAGAATCTGAAAAAATGAGATCTGAAATGCAAACTAACCTACCATAAATAATGGTAAATTGAAATTGTATTTTCTGAAATAACTTCTCTAAACAGACGACATTTGTCCATGCCAGTTTTTAACTGTAGATATTTTTAATCTTGTGCTAATGTGTAAAGGAAAAGAAAATGAACTTGAGTTGACAGATATAAATATAGAAATCTGGAATTTGCAGGATAAAGATATTATAGTACAAAATGGAATAAAAAATCTATATTTCTACATTGTATCGTCTACCTATTCTTGATAAGCAGGAAAGAGTTCTTGAATTGGAAAATGGGGTGACGCTCGATCTTAAGAAGCTTTAAATTCCTGTTCCCAGAAAAAGAAAATGGCATTTTAGTGAAATACTAATTAACCTGTAAAAAACAGGTTAAACAGAAAAAAATGAAAGAATTAAAAACGCACTGGAACAAGAATGCCAATTTACATGATCCAAATTGGCCCGTGGTTAATTAGGCACCTGACAAGCTTTGGTTTTCTGTCAGACATGATTTTTAAATATTTTACAAGCAAAGTGAGGAAATCTAAACCACTGTAAGCGAGACTATTTACTACTACAAACATTTTCCACATTGCATTGTAAAATCTCAGACAAAAATGTGTTTTGTTAAAAAAAAAAATTTAATGCATAGCAGTGTTTTGCACACGTGTCATTATTCATACATATTTTTTGCAAAATAGTTTTTAAAATTTCCCCCCAAAACTGAGACCAGAATAATAGTTTGCCTTTCTTTTAAATGTCAATTGATTTTTCTAGTTGCCAGTTGTGATGAACATGAGAATCATTTAATATGAAAATCATCCCTTGCACATGAACCATTAACTTATGGAAATGTTGATGGTTTCAAAAACTGTTTGAAATCATGAGCTAAAAAGTGTGTTATACTTACTAATTCAAAAAAAAATATTAATAACTTCCAAAAAATATGTGGCCTAGTTAAAACCTAGTATGCTGTAGATTCTGAAAAACATGATACAGCTACATAGAAGCCTTACAGCAAGCAGACACACTTATTTCTAGAACACATTAGCAAGAGGTATTTTAGTGACAGCAAAGAACAGGTACATTTTATAAACCAGGGTTAAAATGTGTTGAAAAAATAAAAATAGAATAAAAATTTACTTTTAAATGAAATTTATGATCTATCTTTTTGGGGCTTTTGAAATGTTTGACCTTATGCTTAGTCTCCTTCAGATGAAGGGTAAAAGAAAATAAAATAACTCCAATCTTCATCATTGTTATTGTTACATTTTGTGGTCATTATAGAACTATTTCTGACAGTTCATGAGCCGTGTTACTTCCTGATTGAACAGCATTCCTGTTTAATGAGAAACTGTCAGTCTAGGTTGCTGCATAACCTCTGGCCGGTATTAATAAATGGATGCTGTCTCCCTGCAGCCTCTTAGAAAAAGCTCTCAGGATACAAATATTTTGTATGTGTGTTCACTAACATTACTCATCTGAAAAGGAAATGGGTACAAGCATTATCATGGACATCTTAACAAAAAACTTTAAAAAGTCAAATGATGACTGATGCATGACAAACTGAAACATTTATATTTTATATATATATTACAGGGAAAATTGTTTTATGGGCATGCAGTTGCTATGCATGATATTTATTAGCTCTCGACTTTTCACAGAGGAGTGGGACCTTATAAATCTGCCTTGTGTCATTATAAACTCATATACAGTATATATATTTTTTGAAGAAATGAAGGTTAGGCCTGTCCAGAATGAGAGAGACATACAATATATCCAAATAAACTTTTTCCTATTTCTCAGACAATTAAAACAGTTAAAAACTGTTGAAATACAGTTATTTTCAACAGATGGCCCAGCTGCCACTAAACAATATTTTATGTTGAAATGAATCCCAGTTCCTAGTGAAGGCTGGCCTAAAATCAAGTCCCTGGTGCTTTACATTTAGTTACCTATACTTATCCCCAGGCTACTGGCTTGTTGAAGAGTGACATGTTCCTGTACTAGATGTACTGTGTGAAGCTGGCATCTTTTCAAAGTACAGTATCTGCACTGCCAATGAATCTGTGGCTTCTTTGAAGGTAGAATAAATAACTCAGATGTTAAGAGCACCCATTAATGCCAAGGGGACTTCAGGCTGTGTTTCAAAAATGCTTATGGACATCTCAACCTAAAAAGATTCCTAAGAGGTTTTATTTTGCTCAACGTCATGTTTGTAGATGAAATGATTACGATCAATTCTATTGTCATCAACTCTCTGCAATACAAATCAGGCTTTTCTGTTATTGGTTTTCTGCCTCCAAAGTAACTACAGTTGCACAAAATGCTCAATATTTTTCAGCGCTTGCAAATGTCTATAGACAGCTAGACAAAGTTGGGGAAGACATAAATGGAGCTAGTAATCAAATCATGGTAATCTCATCATTGAGCAGGTGGTTCATAAAATTATTGTACCTGGCTAGATTTTGTCATTGAAACTGAGTGTTATAGAATCCCTCAATCAATAATGTTAATCGATTGTTATTTCATATTATAGTATATTAACAAGAAAATATGTAAGAAGTCTTTCATCAATACATAATAGACACCAGCCAATACCAGTATATACAGTATTAGAGTATAACTTTCTGTGTTTGGATGTACTGTTAATTATTTGTGAAACACAAAGTCTATCCTTTCTCCAAGACCATTTACATGAAGATACAAGGTTATGTAGTCTTTTTCATTTCTTTTTGCACGACTAGCTTATGCAATTAATTTTCATAGTCAATGCCAGTTTCTGATGCCTCCACTGAGCATTTCACCTGCACACAAATACAAAAACCAAAGCAGCAGAATAGAAATACGTGTTTCGAATCTACCTTTTCATTTTTTGCATTTTGTTTTTATTGCATGAATGTTTCAGTCATTTCCTATAGTCTTCTAGTCAGCTTAATGCCTAGGGGAATGTCCATGTGTTGGGTGCCTAAGGCATGTGACAGCTGAAAAACAGAAAATGTAGGACTGGTAAATTCTAAAGCTCTCTTTTTATTGTGAAACACCACCCTTAAAAAAACAATATTCAAAAAGGGGATTGATGAAAGCTCAGTAGGGGATAGGTTTTTTATTTTCAAAAAGGTACCTACTGCCAAGCAACTGGGAATGAATGTTGGTTAATGTTGTCATCACGTATATGAACACAGAGTTCACAATAGCATCACAACTGATGTACGTAGAATGGAACAAAACTGAAGTCTGGGTGTTCCTTTCATTTAGCATGCTCATTCAATCAAGTGTACAGACAGACAGGGGATTGGTACTGGACTCTGTCCTGATGATTTGTACCCACACACATTTAATCCTTTCAAATCTTTTAATGTCTTTTGACAGAATCTCACCATTGGCCTTATGTCAGTCGGATTGTAGATAAAAAAGGTTGGGATAAGAACTTGAAACCAAATCAAACCATAGCACGATTCACTGTCAAAGGAG